GCGATGGTGGCACCGCGGAGAGGTTGGGGGGTGGCTGGGGAGGGGGACACGCTCTGCATGACAAAGGGGTGCCCCCCCCCATACACCCCGCTGGCTCGGCCCTGGGGGGGCTCCCGAGCACCCTGGTGGCCCCACGGCACCCCGGGCTGGCCGCAGGGGTCGTCACCGCGCGGTGGCTGCTGGCTGGGGGAGAAGGGACCCTCCAGGGTGCTTGGGATGGGTCAGACACTGGGGGTGCTTTTGGGGGACCTGTGGGACCCTCATCCCTTTCTGCAGCCCCCCCCCGGCACTGGGATGGGGACAGCATCACCCTCGTGGGCACCCAGCCCGTCCTGACGCTGCGCAGGGCTCCGGAGTTGCCCCTGGATGAGTTTTTCTCCCCGTTCCCTGCCTCAGTTTCCCCCCAGCCAGCACGCAGCCGAGCGCCCAGATGGGCTGGGGGGGCACAGCTGGGCTCAGCACCCAGCCCTGCCGTGTCCCCCCCCCTCCCCTTACCCCCTCCGGGGAGCACAAGGGGCTCGGGGCCAGCGCGGTTGCTGGCTCGCTCCGCTCTTGGCTCCCTGCAGGCCGCCTGATGGCACAGCTGGGAAATCCCACACGCCCCACAGAGCTGGCAGGGAGCGGGCGTCCTGCGCTGCTGAGCCTCGGAGAGGGGGGCTTGGGGACACCCCCGAGCTGGGGACACGGGGACGGGCAGGCGTCACACACGGGGGGCAGCGAGCGGTGCCCCTGCCGTGCCGTAACCCGGCGCAATTTTGCTCGGCACCACCCCAGGACCTCAGGACCCCATTGCATGAGCCCTCTGGAATGGAAAAGGGGCGCACCGCAGAGCACCCTGCCCACAAAAAAGTCCCCAAAAGGCTCCCTCCAAGCCCCGAGCCGCTGCTGGGGGCTGGGGTGAGCGGGAGCAGAGGGGGCCGGGGGCCGCATCCAGCCCCGCTCCATCCTTTTCCAGCAGCTTTGGCCCTCCTGGAGCAGGGGCATGGCCCAGGCTGCAGCCAGCAGCTCCCTCGTCCCCTTTTTTTTTCCTTTTCCTGCCCCAAAATTGCCCGGGGATGCTCAGCACAGCACCCAATCCTTCCCCTTCCCGCGGTAATTTTGGTCAGGGCGCATTGCCTTGCATGACCCCGAATGGACCCAAGCTGGACATCAAAAAAAAACCTCCCGGAGGAGCCTCTGCGGTGGCCACGGGGTGAGGGTGGGGGGTGCTCAGCGTCACCTCCACATCCCTGGGGAGCATCACACGGGGGGGCAGCAGGTGGGAGCTGGGGGGTCCTGAGCACAAAATGGAAAGGGCAGGGGAGGAGGAAGAGGAGAGGAGAATCCACATCACGTCTTGGCTCATGGGACAGCCACGGCCCCACAGGACTGCTATGGCCCCCCCAGGACAGCCACAGCCCCCCAGGACATCCACGGCCCCCCGGCACGAGTGTGCCGAGCTGCAGCCGGAGCCGGACGCGCATCCCCGGGCGGGAGCTGACATCTGCTGGTAAGAAATCTCAGCAGCCTGCCAGCCCCGCGGGGCTCCTCGTCCCGCAGCGGGATGCTCCCCATCCCCACCCCAAATCCGGGGTGCTGCAGGGCGCAGGGGTCCCCAGGTTGGGCCAGCACGCGGCCGCGGTGCCTTGAAATTTGGGGTCGGCGGCGCCTTGTGCGTGGGGACGCAGCCCTGGGGGCGAGCTGGTGACAGCCCCCGGGGTTTCTCCCCGCTGTCCGAGGCACTTCTGCGCCCCCAAAACCATCACGGGGGGGATGAAAGGAGCCAGCCTGGCATCAGCAGGGGCCCTGCGTGGCGCTCCTGCCTCTTGGCACCGGATTTATCCCAGTGGGGAGCTGGGATTTATCCCCGCATCCCATGGGGCTGGAGGCTCCTGCCCTGGCTGGACCTGGCGAAGAGGAGGAAGAGGAGGAGGAGGAAGAAGAGGAGGAGGAAGAGGAGGAAGAGGAGGCTGTTTTGGCACAGGCGGCGTCGCTGCTGCCTGGCCGGCCACGGCGGGCCCCAGATGTTGCGCTGCGGGCAGGGCTCGGCGCTCTCTGCCCGCTTGGCAGCCTCCTGGCCCAGCTGCCTCCCCCAGCGGCCCCCGGGAACAACCACAGACCCCCCCCCGGTCCAGCTGGCCCCGACCCAGTCAGCGGCCAGGCGTGAAGATCACCCGGTCCTGTGCGGCTCGGGGGGAAGCAGCCCCCGGGAAAAGGAGCCCGAGCCCCTCTGCGGGCACCTGGAGCCGGCCAAGGGCGATTTTCCAGGCTGCTGGAGGGCAAAAAAAAAAGGGGGGGGGGGAAGACGTTGGCTGGGGGTGGTCGCGGAGCATCCCCGCTGGGAGAGGACGGCTCGTTGAGGGTCTGAGAGTTTACAAGCAAATCCGTTCATTAGCGGATGAGCTAATTAGAAATGGGTCCTCCAAGGGCTGCTGCTCCTTGGCTCCCCAAATCAACCCCGGCTTGGAAATTGCAGCTCCTGGGGAGAGGTCCTGGGCCTCGTCCTTGATGCTCTGAGATGGGATGGGGGCAAAGAACCCCCCCCCGAGCCGGGCTGTGGCCGTCCCCATCGCTGCTCCAGGGCCAGGAAAAGGGTGCCCGGGGGCCTCAGAGCCCTGTGCCGGGGGGGCTGGGGGTGAATTCAGGCTCCAGGCGAGGCGACGCCGCTCCTGCACCCTCTCGTGGTGGATGCAGGGTGGTCCCTGGCTCCAGTAACTCCCAGTGTCCCCCAGTTCGCGCACTGGGGACATTTGGGGACGCCGGGTGCCACCACCTGGGTGTCCCAACCCCATCACCTTGAGCTCCCCAGGGCACCGAGGGTCCCTCAATGAGCTCCGGGCTCAGGGGCTGCGCGCATAAAACGGCTCCCTTTTTGGGGTCAATCCCCAGCTTTTGGGGACAATGCCGTGCCCGGTGCAGACCCGTTCCTTTGTGCACGATGCAACCGGGGGCCAGCCTTTCACGCCGGATTACAGCGCCTGGCACAAAACCACGAGGGCTCTGTCAGCCGCCGTCTAATTGCAGCTCCTCTCCATCCCGAGCGAAATCCGTGGTTAATAACACCAAAACCCACCTCGGGGAAACAATTACGCGGCGAGGAGCTGTCAGGAAGAGCTCGTGCCGGCTCCCAGAGGACAGCCCACTCTGCGGCAGCTCCCAGCAGCCTCCTCCCGTGGAAAAAAAATAAAATATAAAAAAAAAAGAGATGTTTTTCAAAATGAGATTTCTCTCACCTGCGGCGGCGAGCTCGGAGGTGGGAGCTGCTGCTGCTGCGCTCGTCGCTGCATTCATTGAGCCACCCCCTGCGCCTTCCTCGGCGCCGGGTTTTGCCACGGGAGAGCTCCTGTGTGGTGGCACGGCTCACACCTTGCCCCGTGGAAGTGTGAAAATTGCTCGTTTTTCGCCCAAAACTGCCCAGAAGTGCTGGGAGGGGGAGGTGGTGGTGGCGCTGCGAGCGTCAGCCCCACTGGAGCTGGCAGCTCCTCGAGCGGGGGCAAGACTTGGTGTGCTGCAGCCTGCTTGGCCCGGAGAGGTGGTGTTTTTTTTTCCTGGAAAAAAGCCCGTTTTGGGGAAAATCACACATGGCTTGGCATCTCTCAGGGCAGCGCAGCACCGCTGCGGAAAAGGTTTTGGGGTGGGCTGGTGAGCGCCCAGCTTTGGTTTGTCCTCCGAGCTGAAGCAAAATCCTGCTGGATCCTCGGGCTGGGCCACCAGTAGGCACTGGTTTTTGCTCTGGGCCACCAGTAGGCACTGGTTTTTGGTCTAGGCACTGGTCCATCAGTGTGGTTCCCTGATTTGGGGTCTCGGGGTACACCTACCGCCCCAATCCCACAAAGCTGGACCCTCCCCACCACCACCCCACATCTCCTGCGCTCCGGGGCAGATCCGTGCCCCCCCAGGGCAGCCTCTCCTCGTCTTCTCCCAGCATCTTCCCCCACCCCGGGGGGGATCAGCATCATCCCACGGCGCTGCCATCATCATCCTCACACCCCCCGGGCATCCCCACGGCCCGATGCCGACGCCTTTTGGGGCAGAGCAAGGGGGGTTGGGGTGGCAAAGCCGCACATTCGGCACCCCGGGACCCCCGCGTGAGGCTCAGCGGCACGGCTGGGGCTCGATTTTGGGCAGCAGCAGGGAAAGAGGTGGGAAAACGAAATCTGGGGGCAGAACGCCGGGACGGGAGCCCGGTCTGGGGATGGATTTGTGCCGCGCATCACAAGCGCTCGACTCATCTCCAGCTCAGCCCACTCGGCTCCTCCTGGCCCCATCCCACTCGTCCTCAGCCCGTTTATCTCAGCTCCGTCTCATCCTGATCCCAAATCCCTTCCTGCACGGCGGGAGCTGATTTGGGTGCTCCTGGAGGGGAAGGCGAAGGGGTCAGCGTGGTGGGAAGGGGGCACCCCCACCACCTCCCCCCGGCTTCGGAGCGAAGGGGGTGCCAGCTTGTGCCAGGGCTGGGGAGCTCGGCCTGTCCCCCCTCACCCCCTGTCCCCCCTCCCTGTGTCACCCCCTGTCCCCAAAAGCCACCAGCCCTACTCAATCCCAGCCCAGGATGCCCCAAAATGTCCTACAGGCAGTGGGGTCACCCGAAGACCCCACAGCCCTGAGCAAGCGCAGGGTGGTGGTGGCCAAAATCCCCTCCTGGGGGGCACGGGGTGCTCCCGTGGGACCCCAGCCCCAAAATCCCAGTGGGTCACCCCATAACCGTGCTGTGGGATGGGGGTGACCTGCTGCACCCTCCGGACCCCAAAAAAGCCACGGTAGAGATGGGTGAGGGGGGATGGGGGAGGCGGTGAGCAGAGCACCCAGCACCCAAAAGCGATGGAGAGCTCGGGGGCAGAGAGGTCCCACGGGATGGGGTCTCGGGGTCTGTCTTTGTAGGGCCAAAAAGCAGTGGGGGGGGGGGTCTCCGGGAGCACCGTGGTTTTGGGGGAGAGGCAGGAAGGTCCCCGGGACCCCCAAGCCAGGGCACAACTGGGTCAGGTCCCAATCCCACAGCGAGCACCAGGCAGGGAGCAGTTTGGGGATGGTTTTATTGGGGTTCCGCCTCGGCGAGGTCCATCCTTTTTCGGCAGGGGACGAGCTGGTGGCACTGGGATTTGGGGATGGGGGGGGCTGCAGCGGGGGCGCACAGAGCCCTGGGCCAGGACCCCGGCGTCCCCAAACGTCCCCAAACGTCCCCAAAGCCAGGCCACCGCTTCGGGGACGGCGCTCGCCCCGCTATCCCTCTGGAGGAGGCAAAACAGAGAGCTGAGAGCCGGCCACAGCCCCCCCACACCCCCCCAAAAAAAAAAAAAAAAAATTAATCCTTTCTCACCCTTTTTTCCCCCAAAAATCAGGCGCACCGCCCCCGCCAGGGTGTCCCCCAGGGACCTGACGAGGCGCTCCAGCAGGTCGGTGGCGTCCACCAGCGCTCCTTCCGAAGCCCGGTCCCTGCCCTCGGCATCTGGGGGGGGGACAGGGGGGGTCTCGGGGGGGCTCTGGTGCTGCCCCCCCCCCCCCCTCGCCACCCCAATTTGTACCCTGGCCCAAAAAGCTGCTCCAGCCCTGGAGCTGCTGCTTCTTGTAGGGTTTTTTTTTTTTGGGGGGGGGGGGCACCGTGGTTGATGATTGGGAAGCAGGGGGGGGATGTGGGGGGCTTCCAGGAGCGACCCCCCCCCCAAAAAAAAAAGGGAGAAGCCACCCCCAGGAGAAGGGAGAAGCCCCCCCTGGGAGCAGGGTTTGGATGTGGGGAGTGGGGTCCCCACTCAGGACCCCCCCCAGGTCCCTCAGGACCCCCCCCAGACCCCCATCAGGACCCCCCCACGCCCCCCCCCCAGCTTACCGGTGCCCATGGAAGGCGTCACGTCGGTCGGCACTGCGGGTGGAAGGGAGAGGGGCTGGCACCGACCCCCTTATGGGGACAGAGCCCCCCAAAAACGAGCCAGCCAGCCCCATGGGGACACCTTAACCCCCCCAGGAAGGACCCCCCCGGGACCCCCCCCCCCCCAAAAAGGAGCTGCCCCACTCACAGCCAGCAGCCAGGCTGCAGACCAGCCCCGCCAGCACCAGGAGAGCCCAGAGCTTCATCGTCCCCGGGGATTTTGGGGTGGTGGCACTTTGGGGACAACCGGCCCCGGCCCTTATAAAGGCAGCGGGCACCGCTCGGGGGGGCTGGGGGGGTTGGGTGGGGGAAGGTGCCCCCCCCCCCCCCGGGCACGGGGCCAGTGTGGGATTAGCTCGGCTTAGCCCTGAACCCCTCCGGGAGCCACCAGTCCCAGCCAAACCGCGACTGGTCCCAGTCCCCCCCCCCGGGCTCCATGGGCTGGAGCCGTGCCCGAAGCCTGGGCTGGTTGCGTGGCTCCGTGCCACATCCCCCAGTACACCCCACTGCCCTCCCAGTACATCCCAGTACACCCCACACCCCTCCCAGTACACTTCACACCCCTCCCAGTATACCCCAATACACCTCACACCCCTCCCAGTACACACCATACCCCCCCCAGTATACCCCAGTACACACCATACCCCTCCCAGTACACTCCAAATCCCTCCCAGTACACCTCACACCCATCCCAGTACATCCCAGTACACCCCACACCCCTACCAGTACACCCCATACCCCTCCCAGTACACCCCAGTACACCCAGGGTTAGGGTTAGGGTTAGGGTTAGGGTTAGGGTTAGGGTTAGGGTTAGGGTTAGGGTTAGGGGGATGAACCACCCCCCAGGAGGGATTCGTGCCGTGCCCTCTCCCACCCCCAATCCTTTTCCTCCCGGCTCAGCTTCATCCTCACGTCTCTGCGAGGCCGAAGGCAGCCGAGCGTGGCCCCGCTCGGGATTCACCCGAATGCTTCCAGCCCTCCTGGAGAGCTGGGCTGGAGCCGCAGGAAAACAATTCGGGTGGAAAAATGGGGGAAAAAAAAAATCCTGGTGGTAACGAGAGTGGGTTTGGGGGCAGTGGGGGGACGCCCAGGAGATGCTCGGGCAGTTTGGGTCCGTCCTGGGTGGGCTTCCCAGTCCCCGTGGTGAGGGGCTTGTTCCCAGTAGCTCCTTGGTGCTGGGTGCTGGTTTTCACCCTGCTCCCAGCCCAGTGTGCCCGATGGGTGGGATGAAACTGGCCATGGGTGGCCCCAGAGGGGGACAGGGGACAGCTCACCCCTGAGCCCCCTCCCCAGGCTTTTTTGGGGATCCTTTCCCCGTTCCGTCCTTAACCTGCCCGGATGACGAGGATTTATTCCTCTCTTCGTCCAAGGAACCAGGACCAGAGAGGGGACTGGGGAGGTGCCTGCAGGTCACTGGGGGGGGTCCCAGCCCCTTGGGGGAGCCTCCAGTTTTGGGGACCCCATGCAGACCCCCCCTGCACAGCACCCGTGGCACCCAGGGCGCAGCGGCGGTGGGAACCGGGCTGGGTCCCGGAGGGGCTGCGTGGTTAATCCGGGATAATCCCACCCCTGGCTGCTCTCCACCGGGAAGTGCTGGGGGGGTATTTTTGCACCCGGACTTTCCCTCCCCATTAATCCCAACGCTGCTGCCCTGGGGCTGGGGCCTTCCTCCTCCTCCTCCTCCTCCTCCACCTCCTCCTCCTCCTCCTCCTCGTCACCACGAGGCACCCGGAGGTGCCGCGGTGCCGACCGCAGGCGCCACGGTTCTGTCCCCACATCCTCGGGGTGGGGGGAGCTGGTGGCCCATGGGGACACCCGGGGACACCGGCTGGGACCCGGCAGGGATGGAGAGGTGGCCCTGGGTGGCACGGGGCAGGGAGATGGGGTCGGTTGCCACCAAACCAGGGGACAAAAAGGGGACCCCGCGCCGGGGAGGTGGCCACGGGAGGTGCCGAGGCTGCCCACCCCCCCGTTATTCGGCACAGGGGGGGTTAAGGGAGCTGCAGGGCACCACGGCGAGGTGAGGAAGAACGGCAAAGCCGCGGAGATAAAGGGGGCAGGAAGACGAGGAGCAGGCCCCGAGCCATAAAACAGCCAGATAAGGAAACGGGAGGGAGGCTCGGGGGGGGCTGAGAAAGGCTGGGGAGCGAAACGAATGCCCAGCAGCACCGAGCCGTGCCAAAGCCCAGCACCTCCTCCAGCTCTGCACACCCCGGGAGATTCACACAGCCCCCATCTGTGTCCTGGCTTCCCCCCCCCCCCCCCCCAAAAAAAAAAAAAAAGGCAGAGCCACATCCTGATCCCTTGGGGAATTTTATTTCCAGTGTGCTGTGGGCTCTGCCCCGAAAAACCCCGTCCTAGTGTTACACGCGCCCGGGGAGCAGAGCGTTTCCAAAGTGCTAGTGAAGCCCTGAAAACAAAAACAGGGCGAAGGGGGGTGGGGGGGGGGGGGGATGCTGGTGGTTTTGGGGGTAAAAGTCCTGAGTTGAGAGGTTCCTGGTGCAGCACACGCACACACACACACACACACACGTGCACGCACGCTCACACCCAGACCCACGGCTCCATGCGGTGCTCAGCTCTCGGCTGAGGACGGGCTCCGGGGTCTGAAACGCTGGGATGGGGGGGGGCAAAATCCCTCGTGCACCCCTCGGCGGCTTCCAGCCGGTGCTGGCACCGCGGTGGGGGCGAGCAGGGGGTCCCTCGGGGGTCTCACGGCGTCTGCTCGGGCAGCGGCTCCTCCACGAAGCCGCTGCTGTCGGAGTGGCCGCTGCAGCCCTGCAGCATCAAGCCTGGAGAGTGGGGAGGGGGCGCGCTGGCAGCGGTGCCAGAGGAAGCCCCCGGGGGTCCTGAGCACCTCTGCGACCCCCCCAGTGTGCCCCCTGCCCCCCCGGAGGAGAGCCCCCCCTGGACTTACTTCTCCGGACCCGCAGGGAGGGAGGGAGGGAGCAGCCGGTTTCCTCGTGGGCATCGCCGTCGTCCTCGCCGGCGCTCGGCACCTGCACGGGGGGAGGTTGTGCAAAAAAGGGGAGGGCTGGGGACACGTGTGCAAGGGCGTGCGTGCGTGTGAGCACACGCGGGTGCTTGTGCAAAGGTGCCCCCGTGCGTGCACGAGCACCCACGCCAAGGTGCATCCATGCACGTGCACGCTGTGCACGCTCCTGAGTGTGCACCAAGATGCCTCCGTGCACGAGCGTGGCTGTGGGCGTGCAAGGATCCTCCCTCGTGCAAGAGGCTCCAAATCCTTCATCCCTTAAACCGCCGCCCCCTCGCCCCCCCTCCCCAGCCCCCCGCTGCCCCTCACCTCTTCCATCTCGAAGGAGTCCGGGGCCTCTCCGCTGCGCGTCTCTGCCCAGCTGGGGTGATGGGGGGAGAGCCCCCCCAGTGCCAGAGCCTTCCCTTGGGGGTGCAGCCCCCGTGCGTCCCCCTGCCACCGGCTGCTGTCCCTCGGGTCACCCCCCCGGTGCCGTCCCCTGCTCCGCCGGGCCCGTTGGCCTCCATCTCTCGGCTGGTGGGACCACGGGGACGATGCCCCACAGGAGTCCAGGGGCTCACCGGGGGGCTCAGCCCCTTCCTTCCCCCCCCCGGGGGAGGACCCCCAGGGGCTGGAGCCAAACCCGGAGTCCCCCTCGGCTCCCGGCTTCTCGGGGGTGGCGCACACCCACTCGCCACCGGTGGCCGTGGCGCACGGAGCTGGGGACGAGGCGAGGTCCCCCCACGGCTGCCCATCCTCGGTGCCACCCTGTCCTGTCCCCACGGGGCACGGAGCACCCCCAGCCCACGGCAGACCCCCCAGCGAAGGGCTCAGGCAGCGGGGGTGCTCCTCGGCAGTGTCCATCCCCTCTGGGGACAACCTTGGGGACAGCCCCGGCTGCTGGTGACACTCGGGGACACCCCCTTCCAGCCACGGGGGTGCCGGTGGAGACCCCTGGGCTCCATGCGGTGACGTCCCCAGGGGCACCCCAGCGATGTCCCTTTCCCCACCCTCCCCATCGGGGGGGTCGAAGCGAAACCTCTCCTCCCTGGCCCTCTCCAGCACCTCCTGCACCACCCTGCCCAGGGCTCCGGACCCCCGGGGGCTGTCCCCGGCGCGGGGGGCCGTGTACAGGCACATTTTGGCCACGGCCTTCTTCAGGCGGTCCCCGGGGGAGAGGACGGCGGGCTGGGCGGGGGGGAGGTGGATATTGGGGACGTCGGGGTCGGCCCAGGCGAGGCGCGAGGGGGAGATGCGCTGCACGGGGGTCTTGGAGACGTAGGAGTAGAGGCAGAAAAAGGCGTCGGCCGTGGCGGCCAGAGCTTGGACCTGCTGGAAGCGACCTGGGGGGGGGGAAGGAGGAGGCAAAAAGGGGGTGAGGGGTGCTCAGGGGGCTGCAGCAGCCTGGTTGTGCTCCCCCCAGATGGCTCGGGGGGTGGAAACCGAGCACGGGAGCATCCTTGCCACCATCCCCGTGGAGCAAAGCACAGCGCGGCGGATAAACCCCGGCTCAGGGGGGGTGGGAAATCAGCTCCCCACGTCCTTTCCCCCCCCCCCAAAAAAAAAAACTTGGGGACCCAGGTGTCACTCACTGGCCAGCATCAGGCAGGGGTCCTCCATCTCCATGCGCCGCACCTGGGCCTTGAGGAAGAGCTGGAAGTCGATGCCCTTGGCCTGCGAGGGCGCCGAGAAGAAGCGCGCGGGGATGCGAGCCACGGCGCCCGGCTCGCTCTGCACGAAGCCCAGGTTGTAGAGGATTTCCTCGGCGTCCGCCTGCCGCCACTCCAGCACCTCGGAGATGCTGCGGGGGGGGGGACAGCCCCGGCTCAGCGTCACCCACATTGGGATGGGTGTCAAGAGGGGGTGGCCCCGGAACCCCCTCGGGGAGCCCCTACCTGGAGCTGGTCTTGTTGGTGAGGCTGGAGAGGGCGCTGGATGCCATGCTGTGCCCCAGGTGGAGCTGCTTGCCCCGAAAAGCCCTGCTGGGGGGGGAAGGAGGGAGATGGCAGGAGGTGGCACAGCCTGGCCCATGCTTGGGGACAACTTCAGAGCCTTGGGGACATCCCAAAAGCCCTGGGGATGGCCCAGGGTGCACGGGGACGGGACCCAGCCCTCACCTGCCGGTGGCTCTGTCATTCCCCGGGAGCAGAAGAGCTGCAGAAGGGAAGCAGAGAGGTGCTGGGGGGGGGACGTGGGGTTCATGGGGGGCTGGGGACAGGTCCCCCGCCCGCCACCCGTGCTGCGGTGACACCTCACTCGCTGCCGTCACAGCCCCAGCGGGTGCAGGGTTTGGGGACGGGTGACGGTTTTGGTGCCCTGCACCCCCCCGGGGACGCTCTGCCCCTCGGGGACAGTGCCACCGCAGGAGGGGACAGCCCGGGGGGGGGGGGCCGCTACCTTCAGCTCCCAGCGTCAGATCGTCCTCGAAGCTGGTGCTGCTGCTCCTGCAGCCTGCGAGAGAGCGCGGCCGTGAGCTGGGGGGGGGGGCTTTGGGGACCACCCCCCACCTCCCCATCCGCGCTGCGCCCCAAATCCTACGTACCGTAGGGACCCAGCAAGCCCAGCTCCTCCGGCAGCACCTCCACGGATGACCTGAGGCCAGAGCAGACCCCCCCAGTGAGCCCCCAGGGGGGCTGCCCACCCCCAATCCTGGGGGGGCTGCGGATGGGAAGGGTCCTGAGCAGGGTGGCAAAGCGCTGGGGGATGGGGACAAAGCAGGGGGGGACAATGTGCCGGTGGCTCAGCTTGCAGGTGGCAGCATGGCACAGTGGGGGGGGATGCCCAGCACTCAGGGGACCCCAGCTTTGGGGTGGGGGGGTTATTTTAGGCCCCCCAATGCCACCCCTCTTGCCCGGCCCTATGGGGGAAGCCCAAGCCAGCCGGGGGTTTCCTGGTGACGCCCGGCGTGGGACCCGGTGGCAGCGCCGGGGCCGGGTGCCAGCTGCGTTTCCTGTGCGGGGGCGAGCAGGGACTGGGGGGGGGACACACACCGCTGTGTCCCCCCCCTCGGCACACACGTGCTTGTGGCTCCTGTGCCACTTCCAGCAAGGGCCAGGCGCGAGCCACAGGCGCCAGCATCATCCCGCACCCCTGGGGCGCATGGGGACGGTGCCGGGGGGGGGGATGCAGAAAGCCCCCGAGGGGGGGGCACAGTGGGGTGGCAGCGTGCGCCCTGTGGCCCCAGCAGCTCACCCACAGTGCTGCAGCCACGTCTCTATCTTGCTGGAGGAGCTTCCTGCGGGGAGCGGAGAGGCAGCGTGAGATAAAGCAGCACGAGCCCAGCACGAGGGGCCCCGCGGCGCTGCGGCCACCGGCGCTGAGCCCAGCACAACCCCCGGGGGGGGGGGGGGAGAGAGTGTGCAACCCCCCCATCACCACCACCACAGGCAAGTGCCCACGGGCACGCTGCGCCCCTGCATGTGCTCACGGATGGCTTGGCACGCGCACGGGCACGCGCTCACGAGCAGTTTCCATGCACGGGGTCATCCATTTGCCCATTTGCGCCCCCCCCCCTCAAAAACCTTCAAGGAAGACGTCGTCCAGGTGGGGGGGCTGCAGCTCGGGGACGTCCTGCATGGCAGCGGCCGCCTCCTCCTCCACCACCGTGGTCCTCCAGCAGCGGCTCTGCCTCACCCAGGCGCGCCGCTTCTCCCACGAGGACGGGCTGAGCACCGAGGCGCCCTCCATGGCAGCTCCAGGAGGGGCCGGGGGGCTCCCGGGGCAGGGGGTGGGGGGCAGGAGACCCTGCGGGGACAGGAGAGCCCTGAGGATGTGTCTGGGGGGGGGGTCTCCACCTCCAGCATCAGGCCGTGGGTGCCACGGGGGGCTCCTCGCGCCACAAGGCATCCCCAGGTCCCCGCGTCGCCCCTTGGCGCGGCCGCATTGCACGGCACTGTAACATTTTGGGGTCCCCTTTGGGGTTTTTTTCTTTTTAGGAGCGGGGGCAGCAGCAAATGGAGACCCCGTTTCCATCCCCATGCCTGCTGCTGGTCCTTCCTGGGGAGCGATCCCGCTGCGGGGGTGCACAGCACCTCCGACCCCGCTCCCTCGCCCCTTGCCACGGCATGGATGGGGTTGGGGTCCATGGGGTCCTGGTTCACAGCTGGATTTAGGGCCCCCCCACAGCATCCTGCACACCCAAACCACATCCCCGGGGGCACCCCAAGCCCCCTGCACCCATGGGTGATGTGAGCCGGGGGTGCAATCTCTGGCACCCACCCCCCCCAGTGCGCCCCCGGAGCTGCAGCGGTGCCGAAAGTCCCCAGCGGGGGGAGGGCGCAGCGCAGCTCGTCCTTGTCACCATTTCCCCATTTCTCCTCCCGCCGGGCCAGGTGCAGGACGGGTGAAGCCCCCAGGGCCGGGACGTCCCCCCCCCAGGCACCTCGGGGTGCTCAGGATCGATCCCGGAGCACCCCACATGGGATCAGACCCCGGGATGGGGATTGATGGGGGGGCTCGGGGAGCGGCCACCCCGCAGCCGGGTGCTCGCCAAGGCCGCATCCATCCCCATGGGGGGCACGTGGCCGGGGCTTGCCCCATCCCAACCCCTCGGGGGCTGCAGGGAAATGCTGTGCCCCCCCCTAAATCTCGGGATAAGTGCCCCCAGCCCCCAGCCTGGGACACGGGGGGCTTTGCAGAGCCAAGCAAGAGGCCACGGCGCACGGGGCCGTGGATCGGGGACCGAGCGCGGCTCATTCGTCCCAGCCACGTGCCCCAGCCCCATCCTGTGCCACCCCCGGCCCCGGTCCCCACCATCCCCTCCGGTCCCCTCTCCCCCCAGCACCTCCCTGGCACAGGGGGAGGTTTCTCTCTGCTCCAGGACCCACCCCCCCTCAGACACCCCCCAACCCCTCACCTCCGCCCCCCAACCCCGCATCCATCCACCTCCCCCTCATCCGCCCCCTCTGCCGTGCCGTCCCCCCAGCCCTCGCTTCCCCCCCCCAGACCTTTTTGGGGTGAAAGCAGCCCCGCACCCCCCCCAGCTCCATCACTCACCCACGCAGGGGGCACCCGGGCAGCCCGCCGAGGCGCTGCCTTATCCCCACCGAGGGGCCATCGGCCTCGTCCCCCCCACCCCGCCGCCACCGCCACCGCCGCCGTGCCCGGCCCCCGGCGGCATCTGTCGTCAGCAAGCTGGGAGGAAACTCATCTGTTTTGAAGAGGAAATTAAAAAAATCAACAGTGAAACCTCAAAACGTTGACCCACATCCGCTGCCACAGCGGGAAAAACTTAATGAGCTGCCTACGTGGGCGACGGGGGGCTAATAATAGCCCGGGCACCCAGCGAGCCACCCGGGGAGCCCTTTCCAGGGGTGACAAGAGCACCCATCTCCGGGACAGGGGTCTTTGGGGGCGATGCTCCTGGTGGGACACGGGGGTACCCGCGCTGCCCCGCACCCTCCAGCTGGATTTTTGGCTCCCTGGAGGACCCGGGAGGCTGGAGGGACACCCCAAAAGCTGGCACGCCGTGCCAAGCTGCAGGTGGCCACACGGTGATAAAGGAGCTGCAGGAGCTTATCAGCGCCCTGCCCGCTGCCCCCAGCGCTGCGCGGCTCTGATAAGGGGCTGGGAGACAGCACGGAGAGGGGACAGAGGGGACAGGCTGCGGGGAGGAGAGGGGACAGGCTGCGGGGACACCGAGCTGGGCGGTGAGGCGGGACGGGTGCTGGAGGTGGCTTTTTAAAGGTTTCTTTCCCAAAAGTTTATTGCTCTCTGCGCAGCCCCAGCAACGCTCCCACCTTCCAGCACCGGGCTGAAGGCACCTGGGGGGCAAGGAGAGGCACTTGGGGACAAGGACAAGCACCTGGGGACAAGGACAGGTGCCTGGGGACAAGGACAGGGTGGCACAGAAGGATGGCACTCACCTCCATCCAGGACATCGTGGCCACCAGCGCTGCCCGTGGGCCACCAGCCCTGCTAGGACAGCGGCAGAGGTGGACGAAGAGGCTGAGGAAGAGCTCCGGGATGAAGATGGCTTTACCCCCGTCCTCCCCTTGCCCTTTTCTGCCTTTTCTACCCCAAAAAGCAGAGCGGCGATGGGGCAGGTCCCGGCCCAGCCCTCACCGGCACCGTGCCCCGCGGCGAGCCCGGCCAGCGCGGCTCGACCAAAGGCAGGAGCCCGTCAAAAAAGGCAACGAGCCGGGCGGTCAGGACGCGCTCTCCTGGAATGGTGCTGCCCGGAGGAGGGATATTTTTAGCCTGCAAGCGTTTGTGGAGAAAAGCCCCGAAATTAACCATTGCTTTCGCCTGCCCGGAGCGCGATTTTCCAAGGACGCCCCTTGGCGCATCGCCCCCGTGCCACTTTTTGTCCCCTCCTGTGCAGGGAAGGGATTTGTCCCGGCCGTATCTCCTGTTCCCTGGCTTCCCTCCAGGCCAGGAGCAGAAAAATAGCCTCCTCCTCCTGCAGGATGCTTTCAGCCCGATGCCCTTGGGTTTTTTTTTTTTAGCCCTGGGTCACATCCAGCGCCCGCCGTCCCCACCCTGCCAGGGATGCTCGGGGATGTCGATGGCCAGGGGACGCTGCGCTTCGTGGCCAAGTGGCATCTCCAAATCCCTGCTGCGTTCTCCCAGCTCCATCACCCCAAATCCGCGCCCGATTCCACCTTTTCCTCCCCGATTTTTGCCCCCCAGGATGACTTTGCAGCCTCTCCGCCGCGTGGCCCTGAAGCCGCTTTCCCCTCCACCTTCCCTGGGCTTTGAAGCCGCCGCCTCGCCGCCGAGCTGGGGCCGCATCCAAGGCCCCCGGGACGCGGCCGAGGAGAGCGAGGCCGGATCGAAACCGGGCAGGATTTTTCCCGTAAAAGCCCGGCGAGGAGCAAAATGGAAAGGGGCCGAGCCGAGAGCGCCCCGCGGGCAGCCCCAGGGAGCCGCGGGGATTTGGGATTTTGCTGACAGCACGGGCGAGGTCCCCGCTGCTGGTTTGTGTCCTCCTTGCTCGGAGGAGGCCGGAAAAATTCAGGGGAGGAAGGGATGGAGAGGGGGGGGGAGCCAGGAGGGGGCACAGCTGGGGATGTCCCCTCAATCCCCAACCAAGGGGACGCCAGGAGAGGCCCCCGTGCGGGGAGATGTACCCAAAAAATACCCCATACCACGCAGCATCCTCCATTTCACCCCTCCCACCTCCGGGGGGGGGGCTCAGGGTGGTGCAGGATTGAACCCCAGCACCGAGGACAGATGGCTTGGGGGCCACCGAGCCCCCCCGGAGCAGCGGGGTGCTGTGGGGCCGCCTGCACTGAGCGCTTGGTGCATCAATAATTAACGGGGTCGAGGCTGGTCCTGCGTGACGCCGGAGCCGGACACCCCCAGGGGACGAGCAGGGTGGGGGGGCACACGTTTTTAGGAGCATTTCGGGGTTCCTGGTGCCTTTCCCACAGCTCCAGGCCACGCGTGCAGGTTGCCACCGTGTCCTCGTGCCCCCCGGAGGGGTGACCCCAAACCCGCAGCACCCAGAGGTGCCACCGTCCCCAAAGTCCCCACCCGGCTGCACCACGCGTGGCACCGGGTCCCCTTCCCATTAAAGCCAGGGGGACACGGGTAGAGCATCCTGGATGAGGGGGGGGGAGAGGCTCTGCCGCCCCCCCCCGCCTGACCTAGTTAGCTAATTCGCACTGCCGGAGCCTCCCGCGGCATGAATAAGTGATGGGACGCGCTTTTAGGGCTGCGGCTGCGGCGCTGCCACCCTGTCCCCCCCCCTCCCCTTTTTTCTGTCCCCCCCACCCCGGCAGCCAGCTCCCTGGGCCGGATCTGGTGTCCTGAGGGGGGGGCTCTGCCACTTGCCGAAGGGGTTTTGGGGTTCCCAGCAAGGGGAAGCTTCGCCAAGGGGGGGTCACGAGCCCGTGAGAGCCACCAGGAGGAGACCCTGCGGGGGGGTGGCTTTGGGACAGGCCCCGGGGGCCATCAGCTGCCCCCACCCCAAGCACGAAGCCCCCACAATGGCTCCAGGAGTGCTGGAACTGGGTACCGGGGGCCCCAAAAATCATCTCTCCAAGCACGGGGGCGAAGCTCGGGGTTGTCCTCGTCCCCTCCCAGCCCCCCGGGGTGGCCGATGGCACAGAGCAGAGGTCACCCACGTCCCCGTCACCGCTCTGGGGGGTGTCACACCTTGCCAAGGGGGGGTTCCACCCTGCCTGGAGTGGGTCACTGTCCACGCCGTGTCCCCTGCAGGCTTGGGGACAGCCCCAAAATCACCCCCCAGCACTGGGGACACCGGGGACGTGGCCCCGTGCCCACCCAGAGGGGCTGCCACATGGCAGTGCCCCGGTGTCCCCAACCCATGGGGGGGTGGCACTGGGTGCAGGGCATCTCTCGTCCCCTCCTTGTCCCTAAATCTGTCACTTTTTTTTTTTTTTTTTTCATGCTGCCACCCCCTCCCTGCCAACGTCCCATTCTGGGCCACCAAATTTGGGGACGCAACCACCCTGGGGGTGCCACCACACCACGTCCCCCCTGCAGGTACAGGGGACAATGGGGACGGGGGGGGGGGCACGGGGCCACCTCCGCAGGCAGGGACGGTCCCCGTGGGGGCTGGGGGGGGGGTTGGGGGCAGAGATCGATGCCCCAGGGGAATTTGCCCCCGTGGGCAGCGGGCCCGGGGCGCAGCACGTGGGGACTTTGCTCGTGCCGTGCCCTCTGTGCACCCGGCTGCTGGGGCCTGTCCTTGTCCGGGTGTCTGTCCCCGTGTCCGTCTGTCCGTCCTGGCCACGTGCTCTGAGGGGGTGGCCGTGGGTCTGTCCTGGGGGGTCCCGATGGCCACGTCCGGGTGGCCGTCCCAGTGTGGGCGTGTGTCTGTGCCATGTGTCCGTGTGTCCTGTTGTCCCTGTGTCCCACTGTCCGTGTGTCCTGCTGTCCGTGTGTCCCACCACACACATGTCCTGCTGTCCATCTGTCCTGCTGTCCCTGTGTCCCACCATCCGTGTGTCCCCATGTCCGTGTGTCCCTCTATCCATGCGTCCCCATGTCCGTGCGCCCCACCACCCCCGTGTCCCCCCACCCGTGCCCCACCGTCCGTGTGTCCCAGCGTGTCCGTCTGTCCCCACGTGCCTCCATCCCCACACATCCCCCTGTCCCGGTGTCCGTCTGTCCGTCCCCATTTCCACGTTGTGCCCTGTCCGTGTGTCCGTCCTGGTGTCCGTCTGTCCCCCCCCCGCCCCTGCGCTCCCCTCCATCCCCGTCCCTCTGCGCCTGCCCCGGTGGCTGCGCCTGTCCCTCTGTCTGTCCCCTCCATCCGTCTGTCCGTCCATCCATCCATCCGTGTGTCCGTCCGTCTGTCCGTCCGTCTGTCCGTCTGTCCGTCCCAGCGCCCCCCCCCCGTCCCCCCCCCAACCTCTCCACTCTTGCGCTGCGCCCCTCTCCATGCGCGCTGCGCCCCTGTCCGTCTGCCCCTCCCGCTGCCCGTCTGTCCGTGCCCCTGTCCGTCTGTCCGTCCCGGTGCCCGTCCGTCCGTCCCTCCCGCTGTCCCTCTGTCCCTCCCGGTGTCCCTCTGTCCCTCCGCCACCCAATCGCCGCTACCGGGGCGGCACCGGGAGAGGCGGCGGGGAGGGCGCAGAGCGCGCAACACCGGGACCGGGGCGGGGTGGGGAGGGTTTGGGGGGGGGCGGCTCCGGGAAAAACGCTCCCCGTGGAGGGTGGGGGGGGGTTGAGGGGGGGGGGAGCGGAACCGGGGCGGGCCCGGGGCGGGCTCGGGGCGGCTCCGGGAGGCTCCGGTAAAGCACCGGGAAGGCGGCGGAGGAGCCGCCCGCCATGGAGCCCAACAGCCCCCGCAAGATCCAGTTCACGGTGCCGCTCCTCGAGCCGCACCTCGACCCCGAGGCGGCGGAGCAGGTGGGGGGCACCGGGGGGGGGACAGCGGGGACACCGGGGGGGGGACAGCGGGAGGTGGGGGGGCACCGGGAAAGGGGAAACGCCGGGGGACGGGGGGCACCGGGAAGGGGGGATATGGGGAGGGGAGGACAACGGAGGGGGGGGGAGAATGGGAGGGGGGCGGTGGATGGGGGGGGGCACCGGGGGGGTCATCGGGGGGGACACCGGGAGGGGGTGGCACCAGGAGGGGGACACCGGGGAGTGGGGGGGGGGGCGCTGAGGGAGGGGTGCACCGAGGAGAGGGGGACACTGAGAGGTGGGGGGGCACTGGGTGGGGGCTGTGGGGTGCTTTGAAGCCCCCCCCCGGGGACAGGGAGGGGACCCTGTGTTGTCCCCGGGGGGTGCAGGGCACGGCGCGGTGCACCCTTGGGTGCCGTGCAGCAGCGTGGGTGCTGGGGGGGTGGGGGGGGGCACTGGGTGCTGCGTGGGACAGGCACAGCGATTTGGGGTGCGTGGGGCTGGGGGCGGCGTGGCCGCATCGCCCCCAACCCCAGTGACGGGCCCTAACCCTGGGGACCCCCCCCCCCGCACCCCGTTGTACCCCAAATGAGCCCCCCCAAGGGCTGGGGGCCACCCATGGGTGGGGGTGGGGGGGGGGTGAGGGGCTCGGGGTGCCGTCCCGGAGCCCTTGGCTGGCTCAGCACCCCGCAGGGTGGGTGTAGGGTTACGGGCCCCCCCCCCGGCACCCACGCCACCCCCCCCCCAGATTGCTCAACCCCTGCTGGAGGGGCTCCAACGGGCCCCAGGGCGAAGGGGGCTCACCCACAGCCCCCCCCCCCAAGCTCTGTGGGGTGACCCTGGGGGTTGAGGGGGGGGCACAGGGTGGCCGGCACGGGGGGGGGGGCATGGGGGCCCGTTGCAAAACCTTTTTGGCTCGGTGCGTGGCCCCAGAATAGCAGCAGGTATTGCATGGCCAGGGGCCCGCGGCCGCGCTGCTCGGGGCTGGGAGCCCTCCCCCGGGACCTCTGTGGGCCCCCCCACCCCGCAGCGAGCACCCTTGGGTGCCCCTCGGACCCCAAATCCCACGGGGTGGGGGGCGTCGGGGCCAGGTGGGTTTGGGGAGCGCCACGTGCCCTCACCAACCGGGCACGAGGAGCTCTGCGATGGCTCTGGGGTGCTGAAAAAGTGGGGAATTTGGCTTTTTTTATTTTTTTCAAATTTTTTTTGGCTCTGGGGAGCGCGCGGCCCCCCCCCCCGAGGGGAGCGTGCCAGCGGCGCGGGGGCGAGCGCGGGGCCGCGAGCATCTCCCTGTCGCTAAATACGGCCACGCACCAGCTGGGGCTGCTGCACGGCTCATTTCCAGCACCCAAAGAGGCTCTGGGAAAAAAAGGGGGGGGCTCAGGAGTGTGCCCCCCCCACCCAATTTGGGTGCCAGGGTCCCCATAACGCCCGGGGGTGCATCCCGTGCCCGTCCCTGCCTCGGTTTCCCCTCCCTGCAGAGTTTTGGGGGGTGCTGGCCCTGCTTTGGCTGGGGTTTGGGGTGCGGGGTCACCCCCCCAGGGGGGATCTCAGCCCCCCCCAGAGCCTCGGTCACCTCCTGTCCCCATGTCCCCAGCGGCCCAGGCGGGCTTCGGGGAGGTGGCAGCAGGTAACGGTGCCGGTGTCCCCTCCCCAAGTTCATAACTCACTTTTTTTTTGGGGTGTTCCTGTAGGAAAAGACCTGGTGGGGATCCCCCTTTTTTGGGAATACCCCTTTTTTGGGATTCCCCCTTTTTTGGGGCTCCCCTTTTTGGGATTCCCCTTTTTTGGGATTCCCCTTTTTGGGGATCCCTCTTTTTGGGGGTCCCCTCAGAGGGGTTCCTGGGGGGACTCATCCCCGCGTGTCCCCACGTCCCGCAGCGCTGCCCCCCACCCCTTCCATCCCACCCCACACCTCGTCCCCGCAGGACCCTCCTGGGTGCCACCCATGGGTGCTGGGGCCGGTGGGGGACGGGGGGGGGGGCATTTGCTCCGTCATCCTCAGGGACGGGTTGGGGCCATCCCCATGGGCAGCTCCCCGACCCCATTGAGTTCCCCGACCCCATTGAGGTCCCCAACCCCATTGAGGTCCCCGAATCCCCCCAGGGGTGGGAAGGATGGAAGGGACCCCCCCCCGGCCGAGCCCCTCGGTGACGCCGTCCCCGTCCCCCCCCCCCTCCCCGGCGGCTGCTCCTGGCCCCAGGCGTTTTCTTAATCGATGCTGGAGATAAAAATAGAGCGGGCAGGAGAGAGGAGGGGGGGGGGGAGCTGAGAGTGTCCCCCCCCCGGGGTGGGGGGACCCCAGCAGCCGTCTGTGGGGTGCGGAGAGCAAAGGGGACCTCCCCAGGGGGTGTGGGAATTTGGGGGTGTGCGGGGTTTGGGGGAGGGGATTTGGGGTTTTGGGGGTTTGGGGATGGGGGGTTGGAGATGGGGATTTAGGGTTTGGGGGACAGGGGTTTGGGGTTTTGAGATTTTGGGGTTGGGGGTTTGGAGATGGGGGTTTGGGGATGGGGATTTAGGGTTTGGGGGTTTTGGGGATGGGGGGTTGGAGTTGGGGGTTTAGGGTTTGGGGTATAGGGTTTAGGGTGGGGATTTGGAGATGGGGATCTGGGGATTTGGGGTTCTGGGGGTGGGGTTCTGGGGTGGGGTTTTGGGGTGGGGGGTTGGGATTTAGGGATTTGGGGATGGGAGCCCGGCCCCGAGCACAAGGGATGCACAAACCATGTCCGTGGTGCTGAGCTCCGGCTGCGTGACCTTGAGCGGGTCACGCCGGTGTCCCCCACCCCATCCCCGTGCTGGGGGGGGGGGCATTTTCCAGGCTGCGCCGTAGGGCACGGCTGTGACCCCCTTGGGGGGGGGGCAGCTTGGGGACACCTCGGTGTCACCTTGGGGTCCCTCTGGAGGGTTCCCTTGGGCCAAATCCCCAAATCCAGCCCCTAAGAGCCCGGCCGGGGGGGGGGGGGGTGGATGATGGGGTGGCGAGGTGGGGGGGGGGGGCGATTTTCGTCTCCTTTTAATCTCCGGTTAAAATCCAGATCGCGGGTTTCCATGGCAACCGGGCTGCCACGGGGTGGGGGGGGGGGGATTGGGAATAAGGGGGGGGGGCGCAGGGTGGTGGTGGTGGGCTGGGGCTGAGGCTGCGCACAGCCGGGGAAGGGGCTTGGAGGGGGTCCCCCCCCCCTTTTCCCTTTCGCCCTGGCCCCACCCGCTCTGCCTGCTCATTAGCATCTAATTAGCATCTCATTAGGCAGCCCGCCTCATTAGGGAATCCTCGCCGCCGCCAGGAAATTCGGGGCCACTCAGTCAGTGGGTCAGCGGGGAAGCAGGGGGGGGGCGAAGCGTCCCCCCCCCCCACGGGGACACCGGGACCACCGCCAGGGCTGCCACATCACGGGGGGCACCCGGCAGCCACGGCCACCCCCCCCTTGGGCCACCAAAGCCACCCGAGGGGCCACCAACCCCCCCCCCCATGTGCCCCCCCGGGGTGTGGGGCAGGAGCCCCCCGGGGATGCTCCGGGTGACCTTGGGCAAGGACGCGCGGGCGGTGGCCGAGGAAGGGCAGGGCCCCGGTGCTGTCCCCGCTGTCCCCGCTGTCCCCACGCCATCGCCATAATTAGCTCCTGATTGTCATTAGCACCGAGGGGGGGGGGACGTTGATTTAAAAGCCACCTGCGTCCCCCGGCAGGGCTCGGCGCCCCGCGTCCCCACGGGGCCACCGGCGGCTCGAGGCCAAGGGGACAAGGAACGGGGCTGGGCGAGGTCTTGGGGACAGGGGACAAGGGGGGGGTGGCAGGATTTGGGGTGCAGCCGCGGGTCCCGACTGTGCCCCCCCCTCTCCAGATCCGCAGGCGCCGACCGACGCCGGCCAACCTGGTGCTGAGCAGCGACCAATCGTCCCCAGGTGGGTCCCCAAAACGCGTGGCACCGCGTGGCACCGTGTGGCACCGCGCGGCACCGGGGTCCGGCACCCCACAACCCGCCAGGTCCCCCAGGGAGGGGACAGGAGGGGACCCAGTGGGTGCTACAGGGGGGTGGGGGTGGTGGTGGTGGCACCGCCCGGTGCTTTTTAGGATCCGGTGT